GGACGGGCCTGCAGCTGAGGGAAGGAGGAAGAGAAGGAAATTGTCCTGGATTCCTGCAGGTCAGTGCCTGGGAGATTCCATAAGGTGGAGTTAGCCGAGGGCTTAAGGCGGGGACCGTCGCGGGTCCTGGGGCGTCTCTGTGTCTTTCTCACTCGCCTCTAGCTTTCCAAGATATACCTATGTCCCGCCGGCAGGCCGTTTAGATGCTGCGAAATGGTGAGCAAGGGGGTGTTTAGGGTGGAGCCCATAGATCCGAAGGTGGGAATTTGCGGGGAGCAGAGGCCCGCAATCCGGAAAAGGAGCTGTGGCCTGGGCCAGTCCACCAGGACAGTGCCGGCAGGTAAAGCTAGGCATGGGGGAGTGCGTGAGGTGCAACGTGGTGTGTTTAGCGGAACCCCGAGAGAAGTAACAGGGGTGGAAAACCTTTGACAACCGGGGCCTCTGAATTAGGAGAGAGTTTCTTGTTCTGGGGACTGGTCCGTCCACCAAGCACTCGGTAGCGGCTGTTTCCCGTCTTTCTACCCTGTGGCTGTGGCTTCCTGACCAAGGCTCTGTGTCTACTGGGTCCGAGCCTCTCCCGAATGGCTAGTCTTTCCTTAGGTTGCGGCACATCGCCAGACAAGAGAAGAGGAAGGAATTAACCTCTGTCGGTGAAGGTCGATTTGAGGGTAAGGTCAGCTGGGTACCCCAGGAGAGGCGGGCGTGGGAGTGGGGAGAAACTAGAGATGGTAATCTAGGTTCAGGTAGGAATCTGAGGGTGTTTCTCGCTCTCCCGGGACTGTGGGGGAAATGGCGTGTGTTGGGGAAGGGGGAAGGGGGTGACAGGAGGGAAACGTATCAGATAGTTTGTTCATAATCCTCTTCTCATCCAACAGTTAGTCTTCATGTTTTCGATCTGTCATCCTGCAGGTCTGCTGTAGCAGGTGGCACCACTTGAAGCGAGGGAGGACGTTTCCCCCGATCAGTCGAGGTCAGTGTGGGTGTGGGGGCTGCCTGAAGTGGGGGAGGGGTTGGAAATCAGCTAAGGTTTGGACTGGCTCCTGCACTCCTGCCTTATTTTCCTTACATCCCTCCCAGTTCAGGCTAAGGGGGAGGGGGAGGCATGTGCATGTTTTGGATGGAATAGAGAGTCAGAGGGGTTAAAAAAAAAACAGGACAATGGAATTGTGAATCCGGAAAGCTGACACCTGAACAGGGACTAGCCGCTCCAAGGAGCCCTCAGGCTTCACTAGCTCTGCTCTCCTGGGAGGGTTGTTGGGCGTGGCACACCTCCTGGGGAGGGAAGAAGCAACAAACTCTTGGAGGTTAGTGAAAGAGTGCTACTCGCTGGGGACCCTAAGGTTGGGATGGCCGAGGCCCTAGCAGAATCTCTGGGCTCCATAGGTTTTATCTAGGCCCTGGGTGGGAGTGAGCTAGGGGTGGGTGGATAGGTGTTGGGAGAGGGTGAAATGAAGGAGGTAGAGGAGTTTAACAATTTACTTTCACACCAAGCACTCTGTTACTACTCTCCAGTCCGTCTGTGCAACTTTCTGCATGGAAGGACACAAAGAGAAGAGAAACTCAAACCCCTTTTCATTTCTCCACCCTTAGGTTCAACTCCATTATCAGCTGTTGTAGCCTTGAAGTGGCTGAAGACATCAGCCTCCACAGGCCTGAATCCAGGCCAGCAGCCATCCTCCCCCAGCCTGAGTGACTCGGTTCCTTGGTCCCTGCTATTGTCAGGGACGATTGCATGGGCTACGCTAGGAAAGTAGGCTGGGTGACTGCGGGACTGGTGATTGGGGCTGGCGCCTGCTACTGCATTTATAGACTGACAAGGGGAAGAAAACAGAACAAGGAGAAAATGGCTGAGGGTGGGCCTGGGGATATGGATGATACTGGTGACTGTTCTGGGGGCAGGTACAATGACTGGTCAGATGATGATGATGACAACAATGAGAACAAGGGTATTGTATGGTACCCACCTTGGGCTCGAATTGGGACTGAGGCTGGGACCAGAGCTAGGGCCAGGGCCAGGGCCAGGGCCACCCGGGCACGTCGAGCTGTTCAGAAACGGGCTTCCCCCAATTCAGATGATACTATTTTGTCACCTCTAGAGCTGCAGAAAGTTCTTTGCTTGGTTGAGATGTCTGAAAAGCCTTATATTCTTGAAGCAGCTTTAATTGCTCTGGGTAACAATGCTGCTTATGCATTCAACAGAGATATTATTCGGGATCTGGGTGGCCTCCCAATTGTTGCAAAGATTCTCAATACTCGAGATCCCATAGTTAAGGAAAAAGCTTTAATTGTTCTGAATAACTTGAGTGTGAATGCTGAAAATCAACGCAGGCTTAAGATATACATGAATCAAGTATGTGATGACACAGTCACGTCTCGCTTGAACTCGTCTGTGCAGCTGGCTGGACTAAGACTGCTTACAAATATGACTGTTACTAATGAGCATCAGCACATGCTTGCTAATTCCATTTCAGACTTTTTTCGTTTATTTTCAGCAGGAAATGAAGAAACCAAGCTTCAGGTTTTGAAACTCCTTTTGAATTTGGCTGAAAATCCAGCCATGACTAGAGAACTGCTCAGGGCCCAAGTACCAACTTCACTGGGTTCTCTCTTTAATAAGAAGGAGAACAAAGAGATTATTCTTAAACTTTTGATCATATTTGAGAATATAAGTGACAATTTTAAATGGGAAGAAAATGAGCCTACTCCGAATCACTTTAGCGAAGGTTCACTTTTTTTCTTTTTTAAAGAATTTCAAGTATGTGCTGATAAGGTTCTGGGAATAGAAAGCCACCATGATTTTTTGGTGAAAGTAAAAGTTGGAAAATTTGTGGCCAAACTGGCTGAGCATATGTTCCCAAAGAGCCAGGAATAACTTCTTGATTTTGCAGTCTAGAAGCAATATATATTGTAAACTATTCCTTTTCTCCACTTGTTTATATGGTAAAGGAATCCTTTCAGCTGCCAGTTTTGAATAATGAATATCATATTGTATCATCAATGCTGATATTTTCCAAGTTGGTCTTCAGGTTTAAGCTGGATGATGACTATTATACTTGTTCTGAAAACATGTTTGTTGCTTTTTATCTTGCTGCCTAGATGGGAATATTTTTACTATTTTCTCTGCATAAGTGACAGTGAACCAATTCATCATAAGTGAGCTCCTTTCTGTCATTTGCGTTGACTTCATTTGTGTCTCATCAATAAAATTGTGTGTTAATTCTGGAAAGAAAAGGGTAACAAAGAAAAGAACGAAAGAAACCATCTTTGTCTTTGGTTTATAATCTAGTTGGAATGATAAGAGATATACAAACAAAAAGATGACAGAACAGCTTGAGCATTGTCAAATGTGTGCTCAGAGCACAGAGGAGGCAGAAATTTCTGTGGGTGACAGTAGTCAGCTAAATCTTCACAGAAGAGCAGCCATTTAAAATGGATCCTGAATGGGGGTAGGGCAGGTAGGGCATTTGGTAAGATATGGGTAAGCGGGGTTGGTGTGAGAAAAGCATAGAGGTAGGATCCCTGTTCCAGTGAGGAAACCAATCTGCCTATAGTGGAGAGTGTGGGAAGTGGGAGTAGGCCACATATTTGGAGAGCTGGATGAGGCCAGTTTGGGAAAAACTGTTCGAATGGTATCTCAATGAACATTGAGAGCCACTAAATATTTTTGAATAGAAAGAATATTTGAGATCCATATAAAACTCCCTCTCTCCTGCTGTGCGGTATTGGCAAGGAGATGGCAAAATGGACATTTTCAAACCCTGCTGGTGAGAATGAGTTTACACTGGCACAGGTTTGTGGAGGACCATTTGGTAATACATATGAAAAGATTTAATTATGTAAACTCTTTGACTTGCAGGGATTTTTCTTAAGAAAATAATTGAAGAGTGTATGTACAAGGCTGTTCATCCCCGCACTGTCTAAAAATAGTAAAAATGGGAAACAACCTAGGTGTCTAGAACACTGGGTAGGTTAAATAAATTATGGCATGTTCATGCTGTGGAATACAAGAAATGTGTTGATGGAAATCCATATTGCTAGGGTAAGATATTCATCATGCATTGTTAAGTGAGAAAGATAGATTAGATAGCAGTATCCATAGTATGATTCCACTATTTTTTTTTAGACTAATAAAACATGTTTAACTAGACATTTTAAAATCTGGAAATATAGACACCCAAAAGTCTTATCTTTGAGTGGAAGGATAATGAGTATTTTTACCTTTTTACTTTGTATTCATCTAAGTGTTTTTATTTATCTATAAAGAACTTTGACTTTCAGGAAATTTTAAAAAATTAACAGCAATGGGAACAAAGCCGGTGATTGATTGGAGCATGTACTGAGTGAAAAAATATTTCACTTAAAAATTCAGTGGGGTTAAAGCTTCCTCTCTGAAATGACAGATGAGTGGAGAAGATGGGCCTTGTCATGAAGATTAAATGAAGTAATACATGCAAAGTACTTAGAATGTCTGGCACATAGCAGTTAATCAAGAAAAGTGAACAAACTTAATTCCTCAGAATGCAGGGTTGATAGTTTTTTGGTTGACCTTTGTTTTGCTGGGGTATCCTGCCATGCATCATTTAATAAAAAAAATAACAACAATAAAGATTAACATTAATTAAATGATTACTTTGTAGAGGTCTGTCATTCCTGCAAGGTAACCTTTAAAATGGTTTCTCAAAAGATTAAAGTTTTTGTTCTTTTTACAGAAGTCAAAGCGTTTCCACGGACATGATTTCACCAACCTCTACAGCATAGTCCTATTTGGTTGGAAGGCCACATGATGGTATCCTGCTTTATTATATGAGGCCAGGAAGGAGTAAAATCTTCTGGTTAGTTCAGTAGTAGTTTTAGCTCCAGATCTTCAGATACTTACTTTAATGTCCGTACTAGACAAAGGGATCAGAGACTGGTTGGTTTAAAGTTGTTGGGTATGGTGTTCCTACTGAACCATGCACAAACGGAGACTCATTGGCCACCAGTTCTAAGGGACAGGTGAGGGGAAAAGGAATTAACATTTTCCTTGCTTCTATTGTTAAGGAGCTCTGGTGGCACAGTGGTTAAGGTATTCAGCTGCTAACCAAAAGATCAGTGGTTCAAACCCACCAGCTGTTCCATGGGAGAAAGATGAGGTAGTCTGCTTCTATAAGTATTCATAGCCTTGGAAACCTTATGGGGCAATTGTACTCTGTCCTATAGAGTAACTGTTGTTGTTATGTGCTGTCGAGTCGGACCCAACTCATAGCGACCCCTCCTTGGGTTTCC